GTTTTCCGATATTGTTTTAACAATTAAAAATTTACACAAAGGTTTTTATTTTTACCAGTGTATTAGGTTCACTGCATGGACTTATAATAATCGAGATATCTCGCCGATGGCACGAAGTAATGAAGTACGGTTCTGGTACATCATTGTGGAATTTCGAATCTATTTGTTGAGGGTTAGAAATAGAAACCCAAGCAAGGTGGGCTGCGGTTAGACCTTTATAAAAATTTACCAAAATTAAATAACGGATTATGTCGTACAAACCTCTAATTGTATTAAAATATAATTGAAGTTGGACAGTGATAACAATTTTTACAGACCGATTGATATTTTTTAAGTACCAAACAAAGCAAACATAATTGACAATGCTTATTGTAATTTACAAAATTTGCCCGATTAATCACATTTACGTCTTATATTGTATATAAGTATTTGATTTTGTTTTTAGGAAAATTGGATTTTCTATTCTTTGAACTAAATTTTTTTCAACAAATCTTTTAATTAGATACCCTTAAAATATCTAATATGTGTTAATTTAGTTCCAAGATTCCAACATTCTTTTAGGTCTTCCTATGATTTTAGCTCAGATTTGACACTACTTTCCATTGCCACATCTACCTTCAAGTCTAACTGCTTCACTTCTTGCATCTAAAATGAGTCTAGCTCTACAAAAAAGTTAGTTTTGGTTCGTTTCGTTGGTGCACCACGCGAATTGGAATTATTTAAATTTTCATATTGGAATTAGCATTATTGACCGATCTGTCTGGGAGACTCCGCATCAGTAGTTTAGGGAAAATGATTCACTCGAGTGGCCTTGCTGTGATTTCTGATAACACGATCCATATTTATTAGACTATTGCGGTTACACAATCACCACTCTGTTCTGCGAACAAATCTGCAATCCAATCTAAAGAAATTTTCTCTTTCTCTTTATCATTTTAATCGACTAGCGTTGTAGCTAATTGGGGTACAAATCAATAATGACTAACTTCATTTGCCTCGCCGACACGGCGATGATAGATTGATGAACTGAATATAGGGCGGGGAATAGGTAAAAAAACATAATCGGTTATTTGGCGCGAAAGTGGTTGACGCCGGCGACACCGGAATTTTGAAGAAGATGGATGCAAATTTTGATCCTTGAGAGAATAAAATGACCTTGCACTTTAAAGCCAAGTTCTTTCCTCGCTATTACATTATAGCGTATTGATTTTGCATTTTAATGGTGTTAGGAATAGAAAATAATCTAAGCAATGATATATTGAAAGCATATCTGGCCCTTAATTTTAATTTGAAGATTCGGTGAAATGTATTGGGTGGGCCGTTTATATTAGGACACTACCGTATCTCAGAAATTATAGGGGATGGAGCCAAAAGTTAAATACAAAAGTTAATTAGTGTATTACAAACCTTCAATTTATTTTAATGTTATATGGTTATATGGTTGCTATGCTTATTTATGGCAGTATGTATTATTTAGTTTTTATTTGTTAGATTCTAGTAAATATTAGTACTTGACTTTCGTTGGTGAACATTAATTTCACAAAAACTGCAAAATTCACGCACACGCACAAGGTCCTTTGAAAATAAATGAAGTTTTTGTATCAGCTCCGTAAATTTAGAACTAGAATGGCTGAAATGATGTGTTTATATATACACGGTGTTTCATTTTTCGTGAGCGAGTATCAACTTTCTTATTTTAAATAGGTATATTACTTCATTCTTCAATTGTATACAAAATTTAAGACATATTTTGTTTATAATATAATACCCCTAAGTTTAACTATTTTTGACATTTTAAATTTTTTGGGCGATAAATGACGTTTGCAAGACGTAAAATATCTGCCATTTTCTTCATTCGGAAGCATTTATTACATCACTTGAGTAAGTTGCGTTGTAGACAAAAGACTTGAATAACGGATTTCATAAGAAATTTCAATATATGTTAATACAAGAATATATGACTAAAAAATGAAATTAAAATAACTGCCAAAAAACTTCTTTTTTTCCAATGGAAACTACCTATTTTTATAATTTTGTCATATTTAGCATTAAAAGTTAAGGCAATTTTATATAAGGTTGTATACGCCTAATATTTTTACTTTTTCAAATATTTGCTTTTGAACATTTGTCTATCACAAATAATATATAGTGTAAGGTGGCTATGACAGCGTTTAAACAAAACAAGTGCTAGAACGCGCCAGAAAAAAAGATCTTCGACAGGATTTACCAACACCATGGAATATATGGAACCTTGAAGAAAGAAAAAAAATAGATGTAATATATTGAGAGATGAAGAGCAACTTAATATTTTGTTGCTTTTTGCAGAGACCCCTGAAGATTCAACCCGAAATGCTAGATCTATATGTCAAAAGAACAACTCTTCGAACGTGCCTTCAAATAAACAATTGGAAGTCTTATAAATTCTGTCCAGTGTAGAAATTAGAAATTATATTAGAAAGTAGAAAATATATTTGCTAATATTATTTGGACAGATCAGTCCATTTTTACAACCTCTACTTAAATTTTTAATCGGACAAATGCCCATTACTGGAGCAACAAGAATAATAAAAACATATGGAAGTTACAAGATCAAGACAATTCTGCCAAAGTATGGTTCGCCGTAAGGAGGTTCAGAATAATAGGTCCAGTATTTTTTGATCAGAATTTAAATTCCTAACGCTACTTAGAGCTTTTAAATATTATCCATCCCTTTGTTGAAAATGAAGTGTCTAAAAGGGAACGACAAAATTTATAGCCACCTTACAACTATCTCAAATTATATGGCATACATATTGTTTGTGATGGAATCCGTCATTCGAGTCCCTTCTCTATAACAAAAGTTACTCAAAAATAAATAAAAACAATAAATGCTTGCGAATGAAGAAATCGGCACATATTAAACGCCATTTTTCGCGTAAAAAATTGAAAATGTCAAAAACGGTTAGACTTGGGTATAGGATATTATACACCAAATATGTCGAGATTTTTGTATAGAATTCAAAAATGAAGTAATACACCAGGAACATTTAAAAGAAAAAAAAATTCGCGCAACTAAAAATTAAGTATCCTATATATACAAAATCAAAATAAATTAAAGGTTTGTAATACTTCAATTAACTTTTGAATGTAACTTTTGTTTTCTGAGATAAGATAGTGTCCCAAAATAAACGTTGTCAATTGTCCAAGATGTTTTGTGTTACACGTAAAGCAGGTTTTTGTCTTTTTCGTTAAAGCAGAGGCAACCATTTGAGAAAATTTTATTGCTTTCCCTTAATTCAGGGACAGTTCTTATAATGAATGTAGGTAGTTGGCAGCTGAGATAGCATTTCGTAGTGCCAATTTGAATAAAAGTTGGTTTTATGCAACTACTTGCAAAAAATCCCTCATTTTATGTGAGGGGACACTAACCAAATCTAACTCTCTTGCCAGGACAACAAAGCACCAAGTATATCACAAAAATCTTGGTCAGATGTTTAGCTAAAAACACTTCTAAAGTGAAGTGCCTAAAATGGAACGACGAAATTTAATTTGGCAATAGGATGACGCTCCTTATCAAAGAAGTCAAGAAATTAGCATCTATTTAAATGTACACTATAGAGAATGTTTCCGGGAGAATGGTAGTTACGCCTGGCCTCCAAGGAGCAATGACTTAACTCCCTTAGATTTTTTTCTATGGGGTACACTTAAAGATTTAGTTTATAAACACAAATCGTCAACTGTCGAGGAACTTAAACATCGGATAAGAGAAGGTATCGAATATTTAAATGCCAAATTGCCATCATGTATTTAAAAACCATTTATAATGCTTGTATTGCTCAAAGTGGAGGACATATTGAACAACTGTTACAATAATTATTATCCTTTGTAAGCTATTAATTTTTTATTTATAGTTCATTAACAACAACAACGTTATCGCTTATCTGTATAAATAATGCATACAAAATCTTTTATCTATTTATTATCTATTATGTTCAACTATGAAATGGTAAATCATAGTGGCACTTTAGCACTTGTTTAGTTCAAATGCCGTCATAGCGAACTTACACTAACTGAACTTATATGGCAACAGCATATTATTTGTGATAAACAAATGTTTAAACGGAAATATTTCATGGAGTAAAAATATTGAGCATATATAAAATTATATAAATATATTAATATTATATAAAATTGCCTTACTTTTAATGCTAAATATGACAAAGTTATAAAAATGGGTAACTTCAGTTAAAAAAAAAGTTTTTTGGCAATTTTTTTAATTTCATTTTTAATGTTATTTTTCGCGTACCCTGTATTAACATGCATAGAAATAAATACCTCCGAATGAACACATTGGCAGATATTTAAGTCTTGCAAAAGTCATTTTTCGCATAAAAAATTAAAAATGTCAAAAACGGTTTGACTTAGGAATAGGATATTATACATAAAATATATCTAGAATTTTGTATAGAATTCAAAAATGAAGTAGTGTATGCATGTGTGTAAATTTTACAGTTTTTGTGAAATTAATGATCAACAACGAAAGTCAAGTAAATAATATTTACTATAATCTAACTAATAAAAACTAAATAATATATACTGTGATTATTAAGCATACCGGGTGGCTCAAAATTTTCTCTCGCACTGCGAAGATCATTCCGAATTGAAAATATATTATGAAGTTTCCCTAGCTTTCTGACCAACAAACTTACTTCTTCCAAATTATATCATTTACCGTGAGTTCAACTTCAACCTTCCTCTTTTTTGCACTAACCACACAATTAAATAATTGAATGATATTTAATATACTACGCTTTGTAGACGAGAATTTTTGATTGTGTTAATAACCATTTCGATTCGATATACGTACCGAGTAATTATCATTGGAATTATATCTTGTGGCGTAATACGTAATTTTAATTCATATTTCAGTAATATCGATTTCTAATTATAATTGTTCTGTTATTGCTTCAAATATCCAGCAATGGTTTATCACCATTTATCGGGAATGTATTTGCTTGCAGGTATAAATCGAGCAGCTGGTAACATGGAACTGTAATTATACGATACCTATCTGGCCTAGTATGCCGCCATATAAGTCAAGGTAAGAATTAGGTACTCTACGTACCTGTTAATCGAAGTTCTTTAGTATTAATAATTATTATCCACTGAAAAATTGCAGCAACACCGCAACTTGGTTATACGCCATTAAAATTGCTAGACCGTTAAAAAATAGGTAGGCTGTTTTATTTCTGAATCTGCAAAACTGATTTTTTACAGAATTGGACAAAATATAATGTTTTTCTTATAATTATGACTTATTGAATAGCGAGTATCAAAAATTTGTTTATAACCGAGTTTATCTAAACTATAATTTCACTAATTCGGTTTTATGTACAAATTAACTATAATATCACAAATTGTGATTATCCACAGAACATATATTTTTCCATAGTTTGAAAATATATCATTGGTTTAATATAATTTTTGAGACTTTCAATATTTTTTAAATGATATACGTTTTCCAAAAAATGTTTTTAATTGTTGATATTGTTTATCTCTTTTATAATTTCAATTAGATGGTAAAAGACTGATCTCAACCAGATTTTCTAGGTTAATTCCAAAAATAATAATTCTTAAACGAAAGGCAAAATGTGCTAAAATATTGCTAAATAGAAATAGTTCTCATTTGCAACACTAATCGATCGCAAAACCAGTGAGAGTCAAATAAAACTTTACACACTTAATCCCATATTTCATCTTTTGAATGAATATGTTATCTTAAAAATTGGTAGAAATTTCACAAATTTTTGCTTTTAATACTTTGGCAAATTGGGTAAAAAACAAACCAACAACAGATGAAAAAAATCATTTTATGGTTGTCATTCGATATAAGGTTTAATATGTGGTTTGCCACTTTCTTTTAGATAAAGCTCCCAATTTAAAAGACTTTCTTAGGCTTCATTTATCAAAATACTTGTCCAAATATTTTTTCGGTCCTTCATATATGCCCTTTGGAAAACGTCAGTTTCGTCTTCTAGCAGTTCAGTTTTAAATCTGCGTCATCACTTCTCCAATGGCAACCAAACTTTTTAACACCAAATGATTTTGCGGAACGTCAGGTAACCAGCTAGGCACGTTTATCGCAATTATGGCTAATTATCGGAACGAGATTGGAAATCGACGCTAATTAATAAGATCTATCAATAACACGTATCACGGTGCTTGTAATTTAGACAGTTACGATGTGTCGTTCAGGCACTCGCGCAGCTTTAACATTAATTTATTGCGTGTACTTATCTCCATGACTACGACAAATTCATAAAAAGTGGTCAAATGATGAAATACTTGTATCAAATGACATTTTTCTATTCCCGTCTGTAAAATGCCTAATTACACACCGATCTAGCGTACGGGAAGCGTCACTTTACCACGTCAGTTTCGTTTCCCACGAATCCGAACCGCTTCGGGGACAATCGGATGTTTTCGAAGATATTTCCCACGTCTTGAATTTTGACGTTTGTCAATTCTGACGGCCATGTCAGTGAATATATTCGTGTCGTTTTAAGACAAAAACTAACGGTTATAGAAAAAGTATAGCACGCAACACGTTCGGTAAACATTTTAAGTCAGTCGTTTATTAAACACCGCAGTTGTTGAATAATATACTATGGTCGCTATTCTATTAACTTAAAAATAAATTCATTTCTCGTTTTGAACTTAGGTATCCCTATAATTAAGAATTTTCGATGGCTTCGATTCATATTTAATTATTCTTTTTTAAATAATTAATTAATTGTTTTAATTAATTGTTCTCTGGGGCTGAATTTGTGCGATAACTTTCACATTTTATTAATATCACTACTCTCACTTAAGTTAAAAAAAAATCTAAATTTTGGTTTAATGATAGATTGATGATACATGTTATAATGTAAATATAAACATAAACTATTACAATGTATGTATTTGCTGTAATATACCAATTTAACAATAAAACAATAATTCAACAATACTCACAATAGTTTAAGCAAAGGAGTTGGTAAGCTTTTCTGTTACATAAAAAATGTGAAATATTTTCAGAGAAATTAAAAAGATGTTTGTCAATAAAACACATATTTTGAAAATCACGCACTCAGTGGAAAGCAAAATAGAAGTAGTTTTGTTAATATCTAGAACACTTTCTTGAATTAAAATATAATCGCTCTTACAAAATAAAAATCTTTTATTTTATTTTTTATATAAAAGTCATAAGACCGAAACGGATGAACCGTCTCTTTAGACTTTTTTGCCGACTTGCATCAAAATCAAGGAACTAAAAGTTCGATAATTAATAAACTACACTAAGATAAACTGAAATGTAAAAAAATAAATAGTAAAATATCAATGGCACAGATTACAATGCAATGCAACTTTTGAAGCTAGCCCAAAATTTTTGAGTGAGTATTAATTTAGTTATAGATTTTTGTAATCAAATTCAGCTGGTTTAACGTTCATTTCAATCACATGAACGATTCTATAAAGCCATACTCGGGCTTGTGTTTGACGAACGTGTTTGATGAATATAGTATTTTTCCATATACCGATTACCATGATCGAATTTCGGGGGAACACATCCGTAGCAGCCGCAGATTTATGTCCGCCAAGCGGAATCGACAAATAATTTTTCCACGCCCAATTTTACCATCGAATCGAACGAATTTGTCGCTGCGGCATATTCGGCGTGTTTTCCGTATCACGGAAAATGTGCACCCAGGCTCTCGATACGTTACAACAAATTCAATTTCCCTTTAATTATTTGACAAATACGCTTAACGCGTGTGAAAACGACATTTCTGTTCAACGGTTTATTATAATAATACACACCAAGATTTATGCGCATGATTTCGATAGACTCTATTCACGAGTCAGCGGTTCTCTTGTTGAAAGGGTTTGAGCAAAAAGGTCGAATTTTTAAAATTAATTTCGTTCATTTATCATACAGAGTGGTGCACAGTGGAGAGAGATTAGTATGCGTTTTCCCCATTTCCCCATGCCATTTCCCCCCGAACCTAGCTGCAGCTTACTCCCTAGATTTCTTTTCATTTTTATATCCTACACAAAAATCACCCATCCATAGTGAGTCATGAGTTATGTATATATAAATATTCTCCCTGGCATTGGAAGAATATTATAAAAACTTTTAAATTAATTAATTTTAGAAACAATCTTTGTTATGTCAATCGAACTTTAAAAAGTGGTTTGTGCACGACAGCTTAAAGATTAAAAAAAATGTGCGTCCAGCAAAGACTGTTTCAATTTTTTTAATATCACAAAAGAAATCCCTCATAATATATAGCGAATTTGGGATTTGAGTTTCACAGATTTATAAAAATTTGGCATCTTTTTCCATAACTACCAGTATCAAAATCCACTTTACAAGAGCAGTCCAAGAATCGAATTTTCGAATCTCCGTACTGTATGCGTATCTACTCCACCACAACTTGGTTCGGGCTAGGGAGAATTGAATAATTGTGGACACTCGTAACATTTGACTGAAACGGAACCGCACACCCGGGTTTTGTTATTTTCGACCCCTTTGAGGCCATTTTCGGTTGAGCGAAAATTGTTCCGGTTCTGGAAACTTGATACCTATACATGGCGGAAAGGGGACCGTCAGCCAACCGCGAACCCATTTTAATATGACATTGTTTACATAATTCGCATATGAACGTGGGTTTTCAGCGTTTCGTTTCAGGTTGAAGCGGATCATGAAATCGCGTGGGCCTCCCATTCCAGCGAAATTTTATTATAACCGAATTTTTTCAGGTAATATGAATGTGAGATAAATACCGCGAGTGAGCCTTTTCCGGTATGGCCTTTACCGTAGGGCCGGTTTATATTAAGCTAGTAGGAAGGTAAGACAAGTAAGCAATTGACCTATTTAACGCCAGCGATCCAGCAATTGGTGCCTCAATCTACACGAAGAAAAAGAATTAGTTCCTGAAAATATAGCACATTTGTTCTAATTAAATAATTTCATCCGTATCGAGCAATTAAATATTGAATTCGGGGAATTATTTTTTTTATTCGTATCTAACATTATTACAAGAAATATGTTTGTATTATTACACTTCTACTTTATTTGTTACAAGGGGTATATTAGGTACAATTATTAACTATTTGCGAGAACTATCGAAATAACAAATATTTATTTCATGGAATTTAAAATTAATTAGCATTATAAGGAAGGAGCAACTTGAGAACAATAATATTTAATTGAACGAAATTTAGCGTAATTTTACAATTTCGGCAAAATATGGGCATATTACATACAAAATATTTGTTATAAAAAGTTGGTGCATGATGGTCTAAAACCTACAATACCCAGAGATTTTAATTTGCAAGAGTAAGATCAATCTAGGTGTATCCTCAGTGACTGTGGCAGTTTATACATATTTTCTTCTCTTTTTGCATTTATAGCATCTTCTATCTAGGCAGATGCCCCAAATAACCTATACTTTGCATTTATTTTCTTCAACAGAAACCTTTACTTGAAGAACAATAGGTTCCCTAGACTCAGCAATATTAAGTTTCCACTTTTTAAGTTTGAGGGATCTATTACATATTAAATATTTTAATTGCACATACATTGAAATGCCGGAACAAGATGTTTCCCTCCCCATTGAGATAATAATTTATCTATTATCCACATTCACAATCAGCCTATAACCTGGCGGCAATAGAAATGGCGATGTGTCAGCGTGTCAGCTCATATTCACATCGGAATATCCAAAAAAACCGGCTATTAGCGTCAAAAAGACTATGTTCCCGGGAATTAGAGATTTACTTGCAGCAAATACATTTTCATTTGAGGAAAGTAGCATATCATTAATTTAACATTCGCTGTATTCCAAGCAATAATATTTGTATTCCAGTTAATACTACCTGTATGTGATGTTACGATTTGTTATATTTTGGGAATAAATAAATTATATAATATATATTTTATTATTTTCTGTTTGTAGAAAATTTCAGCAAAAGTTTATTGGCGCAATAAGAATATATAATACACAAAATTGTGGATTAAATTAAAAATATAATAAATTTTCTCTCAACAAAAACTTA